ACGTAGTGCTTTTCTCCGTAAGTATACATTCAGCGAGAGATGGAAATTCCTGCATTGAGATCTCCAACATGGTTAGCAACCCCAGTTTCTATAGGGAGAGGTACATGTAAGGGAGATGTTCAAGGGCACCTCTAGGAATTACAAGCACAAATCTGTGATTAACTCCCTTTGGCCTTTCTAAAAATTGGAGCCCACGTGTTCTCCTACAGAGAAGCAAATGTGACAGCACGCCACCCTGGGGTCTTTGCAGCTTTAGTCTTCATAGAGCCTGGAAATCTCCCGTTAAATGAGACTGATCTCTGGGATGAGTCACACACATTAAAGGAGGAAGATCTGAATGTCTATGGGTATGATAGTACACAAATCCCTTTTCCCACTTCAGAGAAAGAAGTAGGTAGTCTTGAAGCTCATTACCCTGTCTCCAGGCTTTAGCACAGGTTCATTTTTGGTCCCCAGCTTATTAAGCAGCGTGTAGGCCAGCTTAAGGCTTCTGCTCCACAATTTGCCTGGAACACAAAGAGAAGAAGATTGCTGACTCCACATCTATCATCTGGACAGTAATACTCAGCTCCCAGGTGGCTTATCAGGCAAGGATCATAAGTGTCACTTTACAGAGAGGAAGCAGAGGTGCGAAGACTAAGTGACTTGCTCACAGTGGCAGTAAGACTAACAGAACCCAGCGGTCTGACTCCAGTCCTCTCCGGGAGTTCATCTAACAGTAAGAATGTGCAAGGGCAAACTCAGCTGCTGAAGTCCTTCGTGTGTCGAGGATTTCATCCTCATACAGCTTTAGACCAGACAAGATAAAGACTTTCTTTTAAGGCCAAGAGGAGTCATTTTATTATCTCCCAGCAATGCCGTTGTTCCCAAAGAGAGCTGGTTAAAAATCCAAGAGTTTTGAAAAAGTAATATTGCCTCCTGTTTTTTCCAGATTCCCAAACTGTCTTCTCCAGAAACAAACAAGCAGCAGAGCTGGAGTTGTATTTACAAGCATCTCCGGAGGCAGCAGTGGCGTTGCCCAGCACGTGCCTGTGTTCCCAGCGATTCCCCACACTTCCACTCCACCTTCCTGCAGACACCCCCGTTTGTGCTCCCCGATGCCTTTAGAGCAGTCACCCAGCTTATGCATCATGTTCATTTCTTTCAAATCTGCTTTGTTCACAGACCCCTTCCCCAATCTGTTTAGGTCAGGGGTCATATCACATGCTACATTTTATAAAGTGCTGTCACACTGCCATCCTACAGAGTCAGAATGAGGAGGAGATGGATGATCACTGTAGTTAGTCATACGAGGAGTCTGCAGAACATTTTCCATGCTGGATTTACACAGCTTTGTCTAAAAACTCTCAAAGCCCAGAAATGGCACTTTTCTGGCTTGACTGCAACAACCCTTTGCTTTTTATCCTACCCCACAGCAGCAGAAATACTCACCATACGTCAGGGTATAGACTGGTTTTCCTGTAACATCCAGTGCAGTCAGACAAGGGCACTTGGCCTGTGTGGATCCCCAGCGCTGCAGCGCTGCTTCTAAGGCAGGAGGCCAATTACATACAACTCCCAGAGGCTCTCCCTTTACAGGGGTCATCTGCCGTCCCTCTGGCTTGGGCTGGTTTGGGTCAGGCTGCGGGACTGCAAGGGAAGCAAAGAACATTCCCAATGAATCCCAGCTCACACAGCCACAGGCAGGGGAGCTGGAAAAGCAAACCGAAAGCGAATGCTTTTCTACACAAACCCACAGCAGCCTTTAAAAAAGCCACCCGAACAAACAAAGCGCTGCATGTATAACATTCCCCCTGGGGACAGGACGGGGAGAACAAACCACAGGACAGACATTAGTCAAGTCACTTGGTGCACTCCTGCAGGTGTTCATGTCATGGTGACGAATGCAGTAAAAAAAAAACAAAAAACCCAAAATTTACGTGGAATTTGAATTCCACAATGTTGAACCAAGAAGCCACCAGCTTCTATGGAATTACTGGCATGAGATAACCTCCCTTGGCTTTGGGAAGTGATCAGCGGTTTCAGGTAACTTTAGACACTAGGTTTACAAAACACATCTAAGGTGTCTGTTAAGAAGTCTAAGCTATTGGCAAAAATACAGGGCTAGTGACTGGGGCCAGACTACGAGGCTGGTAGCATTGTATCATCCATCTGCAGGACAATGGACTGCTTTGAAAACTGCTTTGCTGCTACTGAAACTTGGCCACAGATGATCCATGCCTGCAAACATCAGCTGTGAAGAGGAAATCAATCTAAGTCAACTCTGTACAATGGCCTAATTAACTTCATCATGGGCTTAGGCCTGCAACAAACAGTTGGGAAAATGCTGCTGCTCATTACCTTCCACGATTTCTTCAAAATCATCCACAAAAAATTCCTTCAGGGGTGGCCTTTTTGGTCGCTTCAGAGTGTTGAGTAGCTGCTGAATTTTTGTGGAGACTCTGCTGCTTACAGGGAC